AATTATATTTATCATACCTATGATAAGCCTTATCATAATAAGATTGGGTTACTAATGACAGAGCGATTCCTGTTTGTGCAATTTTCTAAGTCTTTCAGTAATTATACTACATTTTATTATTTTTCAAAATTAAGTTTAATTATTTACTCTAGAAAGTTGAAAATATGTTGATGAATCTGTAGAGATTTTTTTAACCACTCTGAATATGTGAAAAAAATGGATGAATTCTAGTGATTTATGTTTGGATGGATGAGGCACTGATTTGTACCTTGTAAGATTAATCTTTTATTTATATTTTCAGTTTCTAATCAACAGGAAGTTCTTATTGATTCACAAATGATGACATCATCTTCTAAAGTTCTAAAAACCTGTACTGTTTCACTGACGAAGAGAATGCGTGACTATGATCATATCGACTTTTCACGAAAATTGGTAATTTGCTAAAAATTAGAATTATATGCTTATATTTATTTGTCTATTGCTTATTTCTACCAATGTAATTTAATTAATCTCGGTTTAATTAACTATTTTTTTCTATTTAAACATTAGAAAAAATCAAAGAGTAAATTGAACTGAGATTAAAGTTAATCTACGCTAGTAAAAACGAACATGTATTGCCATATTACAATATACACTACCAGTATTGAAAATTTAGGCATATTCTACAATAAGCCAGTAATAATAAATTAAAAGTCAGATAAAAATTGACACAAAACACATTTGAATATGAAAAGAATAATTGATTATGGTAAGTCAGTTTCTAGCTTCTTCTGATTATTACTAATGGTTTATTGTAAAATGTGTGTACAGTATACATAACATGAATTATAGATTTTCAGAACTGGCAATATATATGGTCTATATTGAAATTGCTAACAAAATATTACATGTTACTATTTCTAAATAGCTTTATTTTATTATTTTTCTATTTCACTATCAAGTAGCTGTTATTGCTTATTGGTGCTTTCCTAGTGACACAATATGACAAAGTGATGATATCATCTTTGATATTGGCAAACAACAATATAATAATGTACTGTGTCATCTATGTCTCTTACTAAAAAGCACCTACATCTATCTTTTATTTATTTAGGTAAAATATTTGCAAGAAACATCGGAAGAATCACAGTCTCCAAACTGGTCACTTTTAGAAAGACGAGTAACAAAATTGTTCAAAAGGATTGCTAATAGTAGCACATTATTAGGTCTGTTTAACTATTGGTATTATAAACATAAAATAATTTATACTGCAAATTTATTTATTTTGTAGATATATATATTTTTTTCTTTTTAAATATTCTTTTTGGGGCATATTGTTAAGTAATTTTAAGTCCATATACTGTTTTCTATATTCAATAATTTAGCCAAATTTTTGTTATTATTTCAGGTACATTGGATCCTTTGGAGAAGAAGACAATAGTTAGGAAAAAACCTGAACAGAAAATAGCATCGCAAGTTGCACAGTTGACAATACCTGATAAACTGGTGCCAAATGCAAATACGAAGGATGAAGACAGTGTGGAACGTACTGTGAGGAAGATTAAAAAGTTAATCACATGTCATTGTAAGGAAACAGGGAAACCACTTGATTTTTTTCAACTGATTCTGCATCCCGATGATTTCGGAAGAACTATTAGAAATATGTTGTACGTATCGTTTCTCGTAAAAGATGGAGTAGTGAAATTGAGAAAAGGTATCTTTTTTTTTTTAAAGTAAAATCACTTTCTTATTTATTATATAAATTTAATGATCGTTTTTATCTTAGATCATATAAATCTTGTTGTGGAACCATGTCACAAGGAAGTAAATTCACAAGAAAAACAATCTACCAATAGAATGGGCACTCAGAATGTTATATCATTAAACATGGAACAATGGAGAGTAAGTTGAATCCTCAAAAAGTTTTCTATAATAGGTTTTTAATCATATCGGATTTCAGTTTTAACAGACAAGATTTTTTACTGCTTTTAAGGTTTCACATATATAAAAGAGATTTTATAAATTTTTAGTTACATAAAATATATTCTGTGATTAATTAAGTTGAAGACATATATATATATATATATATATTAAGCATATTAAAATTGTAGAAAAAATATTACAAAATTATAAAAATTCGTAAATTTTTTTTAGATATTAAAAAAGGCATACCGAATGGAACAACCAATGATTAATTTTGACGAAGAAAATTGATTATGAACATGTTTTCGTCCTACCAATACAAAAAAAAAATGTTTTGTTAAATTTACTCGTATACTTATGATATTACATTAGATTTTCAATAATACTTTATTTTTTCACTGCTTAAATTGAAAATTATTGAAAGATATATTTCGTATATGCATAATATTGCATAATGAACATTGTGTTTTTAAAAATTTTATTAATATATCTGACATATACATCGTGATTACTGACACTACACACATATACAAGTATATGGTATTATAATTAGTGACATGTTCATATCAATCACATCTACAGAGAAAGTCTAGAAATAGTATATATTAATATATATTTTGGTTGAATATATTCATATCTGGTTTTTTAATAATTTTTAATAAGCGCTTTTGTAAAAATAAAACATGAAGCAGCCTTTCAAAATAAAACTTTAATAAATACAATTTATTACAGTTAATATTTCATAGTGCAATAATATTTCTTGATAAAAGTTCAATTTTCATATTTTTTCGCTTCTCTTTTATATTCTCAAACACTCTTGGTACTTGTTCAGTTATATTTTATTTAAAGAATTATGATGAGATAAAAATAAATCCAAAATACAAATTTAATCAGAAAGCAGGATTGGCAAAAGACTACTTTTTTGTTTTGACATAGCTAGTGATCAAAACTGGTTTTAATCATTTGGATCAAAATTGGTTCTAATCAAAATATATTTTTGTTTTTGAAAGACTTTAATTTTTTCTTTTCTCCCGCCCTGCTGAAAGTGCTGATAAACGCTGTGTTCCGATTTTCACTGCTAGTGTTGAAGATCTATGGTGTATATAATGTATACTATAAATTTTTAATATTGGCAGTGAATATTGGAACGTAGCTATAGTAGTGTCAGTAATCAATGTTAGGTGAGTCACTTTTTCGTATGTGCATTCGTATATGGCAACACTACTAATGTCTTAAAATTCTGTTAAAGTCTTATTTTGACATTTCTATGAAATTATATTATGTACTTTCTTAGAAAATAAACATAAATTATAGAGCAATATAGAAATTTTACAGAAAAAGATTACAGATTCTCATTACCCGCCTTAATCTTTTTGCTACCAGAATTTGGTTGGATCCTGCCAAAACTGGACCTCTTAAAAATATATATTACCTTATTTTTATATACACAATAACAATAATGTTCGTTTTGTTTCAACTTATTATTTAATATATAATAAAATGTATTTCTGGGTTATTTTGATCTAATTTTTATTCTTTTACCTTTATTTTAATTCTGAGCTTAAAAATTATGTTATAATGGCTATGTTCCAAAATTGACTGCATTGAAAATCTGTAGCATGTGTTACATGTAGTACGATTATAATGAACCAAATATCGATTTATTATCTCCAGCCTTGAAAAATAGACGATGTACCCTAAGAAAAGTGGACATTGCTGTGTAGTTTACATCCACTTTGTCAGAGGGCAATAGTGCGCAGCAGCATTTTGCGGTTACAGGTTTTGTCATGTCCTCTCTCAGGTTTCTCTCTGGTACGTATTGAGTGCACGATGTAAACTAAGCAACTGTCGATACTGTCCAACTGCACACACGACTGCGATCGATCTGGACCAATTCGGAAGCTCAGCTTAGCCTGGATCTGCAATAGATTTTTAAGGCTTAAGCGGAGAAATGGACAAATCACAATTAATTATTCGATTGCAATTGGTCAATTTTTTACGGCTTAAGGCTTAAAAATCTATTGTAGATCCGGACTTAAGCGCTTGTAATCATCATTCTGTCTTTATCGTTCATTAGACGTAAAATAAGAATAGAGTACTGAAAAGCGCTGAAAGCGTCCAAATCGACCGCAGCCACTATGTTATCCCTTCCACCTTCTACCATGCTCTGGTAACTGGTGTGATATAAAACTTGAGAGTAGTTGAAACATTGAGACATGTATGTTGCAGGGCAGTGAAGATTGACCCGGTAGACGCCAACTTCGAATAGAAATTATGTTTTATGTGATAGGATTAGGTCTCGGTGACGCTAAGGATGTCACTGTCAAAGGATTCGAAATTATTAGGAAATGTGACCGCGTCTATCTGGAGTCTTATACCTCTGTCTTGACAGTACAGCAGGAAACCTTGGTTTGTATTATAAGGTTTATTTTTTTATTCCTGCACTAAACTGCACTAGAATAATTTTTTGCTGTTATTAAACCAAATATTAAACATGTACCTATCTTACTTTAAGTTTCATATAAGTGTACACTAGTTCAGCTCATTCACAAAAAACAAATCCACAGACATGCCTAGACATCAAAGATGACACAGACTGTATAAAGTAAAGCATTCGATTGTGAAGCTTTAATTTAAAGATATATTTAATGTATTTTTATGTAACATACGTATCTTATATTAGGAAGAATTCTATGGACGTTCCTTGATAGCAGCTGATCGCGAACTAGTGGAGAATTGTGCAGACGAGATACTGCCAAAAAGAGAAGATGAAGATGTTGCTTTTCTGGTTGTAGGAGATCCTTTTGGAGCTACTACGCACACAGATCTGGTTCTACGTGCAAAGGAGAAAAATATACAGGTGAATAGGACAGTAATATTTAGAATCATTATTTTTAGGAAATATCAGGATTATTTTATATTTTTATATGTATCTAGTAAACATTATTTTCAAGTATCATACTTTTAAACAGGTGAAAGTCATACATAATTCGTCAATACTAACTGCAGTTGGTTGCTGTGGCTTGCAGCTCTATTCATATGGAGAAATTATTTCAATTCCATACTGGATGGACACTTGGCAACCGTACAGCTTTTATGAGAAGATAGCTTCCAATAGACATAGAGGGCTGCATACACTCTGTCTCTTAGATATTAAAGTTAAAGAACCTACCCTAGAAAGTATCATGAAGAAAAAAAAGGAGTACATGCCTCCACAATTCATGAGTGTCAATGAAGCTGCTAGTCAGTTGATAGCGATACTTGATAATAAGATTCAAGATGGCCACAAAGATTTAGGTTGATGGTTATAACAATTCTATTGTAACAATTTTATTGATATAATAATAGTGTGATCATATAAATTGTGTAACAAAAAATATAGTAATTACAATAATGATTACATAATAATCACAAATAATAATATTTAAGTTAATAATATATTTATATATTATTTTTTCTTTTAATAGCATTTACACAGCAGAGCTTGGTGGTGGGCTTAGCACGAGTGGGATGCGAAGATCAATATATTGTTGCTTGTTCCTTACAAAATATGACACGTGTGAACTTGGGACCGCCACTGCACTGCCTCGTTATACCAGCTGAAAAGCTCCATCCCCTTGAACTGGAATTTCTAACGCAGTACGCTCTCGACAAGGATCAATTCAAAGAAATGACACAACAATCATAACCTTTTTTATCTTAGAAAAGAGTAAATTCTATGTACAGAGAGAGAGAGAGAGAGAGAGCAATTTAAAATAAATTAAATTGTATATCAAACTATTAAAAATTACATTTATCTTAAATGTATAACAGAAACAAGATGTATAACAGAAATTTCCATTCTTTTTATTACTAATTTTTAATGAAAATATGCTGATTTTTCCTATTTTTTATTTTTTCACAAAAATTAAAATCTATTTATATTATATATCTTTTCTAGAAGCAAATATCAATTATATTTATATTTATTTTTTAACCCTTTGTTTTTTTAACTCTTTCATAAATGGCCTTAAGTGTCAAAATGACCTTAAAACACATTTAACGGATTACTGTATTTACAGTTCTCGTTCTATAAAGTATAAAGAATTTCTGATTAAATGTACTCTGAGATCATCTCCAGTGTGATTACGAAAGAATATAATTTTTCGGTACATACGATTTTATAGATATTATAATCTTAAAATCTATAAAGAAGTTTTCGATTCCCAGGGTGCATAAAACTTACATGAGCGCTGTTGCAGTTATTAAGGTGGTTCTTTAGTAATGAGAATAATGGAAGCGTAAACGAAGCTTTTAGAAGTCGAAAATTGAAACAACGGAATTTAAAAGAAACGTAAACGCCGTTTTTGTTTCAATTTTCGATAGTATGATATCACATGACATATCGATTTTTATTAAATTAAAAATATATATATATATATATACGGTATTTATCCGTAGATTTTTTTCTCTTACTTTATCTTACCGTAAAATTTTGCACACGCTAATTTTGATTGCTTTAACTTCATTATATAAAAAATTAGAAATTTCTAAGGTAACTCGATTTACTAAAGAACCACTTTAATTGTTCGATATTTCCAGTCGTGTAACGGGTGATCGATTGCAACCGAACCATATCGTTTCGTATATGACCATCACGGAAGGCAGAAAGAAATTGGCGACCGCGCACACAGTGTTTATGCGAATAGCATTATTATTCCATTCGTTCTGGCCCGGTTCCATATTCAAAGCCGTATATAATTCTGCGGCGAAGTCACGTGGTCGTGCGCCAGGGCAAACTAATCAATGGAAAAGCATCGACCACTATGCCGACGAGGCTGGTATCGCATATCGGTGATTCAGTTGTGCTACAGGGGTGCACTCGCTCGGTGGTGGCAGCCCTTCCGTTTTGTTTCCTTGTGCAGCAGGTACACTTAGTTTCTGGGACGTGCGAAAGACAACGATATATCTGCGTTTTACGACACTGCTCCAATTTATGTTCTCGCATGCTTTGGCAGGTATACGGATTTGCACCGTAGTCCCACGATGAACGTAGCACTGTGATCACGTACATGTTATACTATTACTCACTGTAAATTGTTTCTGCAAAAAGAAATATAAAGTACAATTGTAATATTTTTTTCTTGCAATTATTGTACCCCCGCACCTATTCAGTTAGTTTGAAGATATCTTTATTAGTACTAAAGTAAATAAATACGCTTTGTTATACATATAGAAAATGTAACCAAGATATAAAGGATCAAATAGAAAAATCAATAAAAAGAAAAATGTACATATATTTAGAAATTTTTTTTATTAAAAAGTTACCAATAACTCAATAGTCTTTTGTAGATATAATACAATGAATTTAAAACTTAACGAATATAGCATATATGCAATAGATAATTATTTTTTATTTATCCATAAAATTGCAATTTTTATGTATTTTTAAATCTTGCTCAAAATTCCAGAAAATTCAAATTTTAGACAAAAACGAACTCTTCTGTCATCTTGATGAATCCTTTCTCAATCAATTATTAAAAGATTAGGATCTATATTTTTAGTAATTATGCAAAATAATTCTAATTTTTTTATTTTAAATGTCTAGAATGCAAGAATTATAATATACTGAAAGAATTGCTCCTTAAAAAAGAAAGAAGTTGTATTTCATGATGCATGCGATGTGTTGCAGTGAAGGGAATGCGGCAGCGAAGTTCTACATATATACAAAAAATAATTGAAAATACTATAACATGCAGTAAAGTGGCACAATGCTAAGTCCAACTCCGACGATCGATCGTTCCAACTTGCGTCCTGGCACAGGATACCTTATCGCGCCGCGGGTACCTCACGGTCTCGCGACTGTTGTCGAGGGTCTCACGAGGGAGGTTCTGCGTCATCGTCCCGAGGATATATATGTTTTTGCAGCTCACCACTTTGAAAAGTTGCTAAAGCTACGGGAGGAGTATCATATCGAAGAGTACAGCAATCGCGAGTTTAGCCATGAATTCAATCGCGATTTTAATCTGTGGCCTACCAAAAAGATCCAAAATATCGAAAAACCTTCAAACGGCGGTTGGTCCCTAGAGAAGGAGATCGAGATCTTCGAGAGACACGAGAAAACAGCCGTTGACACGGAGGAGAGCCAGGAGGATGTCTCTACTGACAGAGAAAATTGGAAAGCTTCAAAACAAACATGCTCAAGAGGACCTGCGACTACGAAGAAAACTTCGAAGAAGTCGAAGGACAATGAGACAACGTCGAACGCTCGCGCGACGAGGATCATCTCTCAAATGACTGCTCTTCACGGTCCTAGCAAGAATATCCAAACTAAGGATATCAAGCAGGAACTCAGAAAAAACAAACTGAGTGGCGAAAAATCTAAAGCAACCAATAGTGTCGAAAAAGGAATTCGAGGCGATAGACGATCCAGAACAAGAGTTACCAAAACAGATAGAGATCCTGCAGAGGAGGTCGAATGTACTACAACGACGACAACGACGATGACGAAGAGCTCGAGTAAAACCTCCTCACGAAGACCACTGAAAAAAATACGTCGAATTGAAACTGAGTCCGAGACTGAGACCGAACAAGAAGTCGCTAAGGCTGGAGTCGAAGATGGGTATAACAATTTTTTTACTTTACTGTAATATAATCTATTTTTCTAAAATTATTTATTGTAATTATTTATAATTTAATTTTTTTTTAATTTTAATAAATATATATTTTAAGTAAACATTACGTAAATAAGAGAATTTATTTGAACTTTTTTTTTAAATTTTAGACACGCAAGATCAAGAAACATTAAGAACGACAATACGATTCGCGAGACAATCATTCGGACAGGAAGCAGGGAGAGAAGATCGGAAGCACCGCTCTCTGAACATTCCTCTGAGAGGAAAGTATCATCGAGAGCGCTCAGTATGGATCGCATCAGGGCATATGTATTGCGTAAATTTGCGAGCACCGCGAGCTTGGAGGTTCTGCGATCCCCTACATACGTGGAGCAAGTGCAGGAGGTGATCAATCGTGCGGCGCCGATTATCAAGGAGAAACTAGAAGAAATCGGAAGACCACGGGGAAAACGTTCGAGATCTGTCGACCTCGCTTGGAATGAAGAATCACTTCATCGGCATGTTCGAGAAGAAAAGAGGCACGGCGATGAAGAAAGTGGAAGAGGAAAGAGCGGAAACGGGATGGAACGAAAAGCTGATATCATGAAGAAAGAGGAAATGGAAGATTCTCTTGGAAAAGAAGAGACGATTTCAATCATGGAGAGTGAGGAGAAAAAATCGAGGAGGCGCAGCATAGGATCGGGCAAAAGATCAAGAAGGCGTGAAAATGGTGACTTCGGGGTCGTCGATGAAGTCGACGACAACTCGAAGCATAGTAATAAATTGGAGCATGAGTCTAATGCGACACACGACACCTTGGAAGCGAGATTAACTGCCACGCAGAGCATCTTGGAAGATATCTCAAAATCAACATCCGAGTTGGGCGGTACTCGCAGAAGTGATCCTGCCGGAAATGAACCATCAGAATCAGAAATCTCCGATCACGTCATTTCTCTGCCTGTCGTGAGACCGCCATCTTCTAGAAACTCCAAGAGCGCTACCAAAAACGGTTCGGATTGTCTGACTCTGCCGCCCATCTCACCGGAAGCTCCTAAATCGACAAAGAAAAAAGACGAATTATCCTTGCCAGTTCTGCTGACAACAGTAAATAACGGCAATCATTCCGCCAGGAAATCGCAGGAGCAGGATGTTTCAAAGGACGCAGAGGAAGCCTCAACGATGTACGATATTACGAGCGATATAGAGGACATAGCAGGTTTTCCTGAAAACAATCACGAAGATGCGATTGTAGATATAAAACAGGAACCTGACAGTGATCGTCAGGACCTGCTAATATCGGACGTAAAATTTGTCAATGAAGGACGTGGAAGGAACGAGAATGTAGATAAAGTTTTTGATGAGAAATGCGGAAGTCTCGAAGAGTTTGAGGAATTAGAGAAATTGGAAGAGGGCAGGAAGTCGGAGGAAGTCTTCATAGATAGTTTAAATGTTACACCAGAAGTAGCTGACGTACCACTAAGACCAGACTCGTTGGAGCCTGATGAAGAGGTTAAACTTGAAGATAATTATGCGGATCCTGCACAAGAGAATGCTTTCGATAGGTTGAAAGATAAACTGATCGAGATCGAAATGGCGGAACGCAATATTGAGAAAGCGTTGACTTGCCAGGTTGCGACGTGTGACATTGGTGAAATGACGAGCCAAGCGGAAAAGTCGGTAACTGATGGGAAGATAAATGATGCAGGAGAGTCGACTAATGAGGCGGAAGAAACTGTGAATGAGATACGAAAGTCTATGGACGCGGCAAAAATACCGGTAAATAATAAAGATAACGAGGAAAGGAAAAAGAACAATGACGATGAAAAAAGAAAATTGATGAATAATATAGAAAAGGTAAAAGATGTAGCAGAAATATTAAATAAAACGGAAGATTTAAATATAGAAGATAAATTAACAAATAAACCAGAAAAAATAGAAAGTGAAAAGGGATCGATTAGTAGAACGGAAAATTCAATAAATAAATTAGAAGCAAACGGAATTAAAAAATTGATGAACGAAAATGGAGCACAAAGTTTGAAAAATACAGTAGGAATATCAAAGAACGGAGCAGAAAAGGTAACTGATCAAACGGAGATAACAAAGATAACAGAAAACACGACGAAAGCGCAAGATGAGAGATCGATAGATAAAACTGAAAAATTGAATGAAAAATTATCAAATGGCGTGGAAGAATTAGCAGTTAAGATTCATGTAAAAAATGTGCAATTCATAAACGCAAGACCGCTAAGTAAAGATTCTCAGATTACTGAAGTAGTCGAAACAGACGATGATAATACGACGACATCAGAAAAAAAACCTGAAAATGCGAATGAATTTTCTCAAAGCACAACTTCTGGAAATGCTACAACCACGAGCGAAAGCTCGACAACGAATCTTCCTAATGAGAAGAGCCAAACGAAAGGACGGAAGAAACGCAAAAGCGATAAATTACCAATGATAACGCCGCTTTCTTTAGAACTCCCGTATTCTTACGTTCTCAGTGAAGGTTCCCCTTGTGAGATTCCTGATTCCGTGACGACTGTGATCATTCCAGACAAGTCGTGTCTTTCTCCCGTTACTCTGAAGGACGAGGACGATTGTCAGCTTGAATCGACAAATCAAAAAGAGGAATCACTTACACATTTTAATACGGAGATTTCCAAAGACGAAAAACAGGACAAGGATCAGCAAGGATATGACATGGAAGTTTTTGGGGAATATATTCGACCAGAAGCCATGGACGTTCTGTCCATTGATACCGATTTTGTACATAGCGTGAAAGGAATAAAACCGAGTCAGAACATAGTGATCGCCCATCAGGACTTGAATAAAATTAAAGAAGAAGGTGAAGAAGAAATTGTAAAAGAAGATGACGAACGAAAAAAAACAGAGAGCCATCAAGAAAAGGAAAATGATAAAGAAAAAAATGTAAAAGAGGAAGAAATGACAAAGCTTGCGACACTAGAAAATATCATGGGGCACGAGGAGAACGAAGAAATTAATATAAGGACGATTGAGTCCAAAGATGCTGAGGAAATTTCTTCTGGCGTTCTTGAGTATGAATCTTTACCTGATACCAAAGATTTAACGGTTGATACTGTTTTGATAAATGAAGGAACAGCAGATTTCACAATTGAATCCAAAAGCCTGTTGGAAAATTCCTCGGAAGAAAGCGGAAGTACGCAGAATACTCACTCGACTACGAGTGACATTAAGGAAAGTACTACGAGCAATCAATCGATTGAGAGTCCAAGTCCGGACAGACCAGTAGTACCAGAATTAAACCTGGACTCACTTCAGGATAACACGGTGTCGTCTTTCAAGATAACGACAAATGAAACAGAGAAGGAGGACAACGACAGAGAAAGCGATGCTACGATCTCCTTGGTCGAACCGTTGATTTCGGATGAGAGGTTAATGAATCGATTGACCGATCATGAAGAAAAAATTATTACTGAAGGGTTGACAGAGAGAGGTCTGCAGTCAGAGTTTCCAGAGGCTGATCAATTGTATCATGCAGAACATATGGAGTACAAATGGTTGGAGAAGGATCCGTTATCTACGGAAATGAACTTGGAAGATGAAACGAAATCTCAAGAGAACAATATTGATTTGAAGACGACTTTACCGGAAGATGTTATACAAGTCGATTTGGTTTCACAGGAGAAAGCGAGAACAGAGGAGACAGAGGAATTAGGAAGCGAGGAAGAAATCGCGAGAGAATTGATAGATTTATTGGATAAAGATATACAACTTCGCGCTGAAGAATTGGATTTAAAAAAAGAATCTATAGATAATGGAGAATCTGAGAAAAGTAATTTAGAAGTAGACGATGAATCTAATCAACCGCTATCAGTATCTATGCATTCGATATTAACTGAACAAGAAAAGAAGGAAAATGAAGATTCTTTCCATAAAATAGATGAAATAGTAAGAACTGAAATAACAAATAGCGAATTATCAGGTGACATAACAGATATCAGCCAAGATAAAGATAAAAACAATGCGATAATAGATAAAGAATCTGAAAAAATTAAATTAGAAATGGTAAAAAAAGCAGAGAATTCGCATGTTGCACCTTTAGCAGAATTTGAGCAAGATGAAATATTGGAAGAAAATGGTAGTTCTGAGACAGCTGATGAAAACATTACAGTCAAAAGTAAACTTGATAATATTAATGCTGATCATATCGATATTCAGGAAAAACTTGGAGACAAACAAACGAATATGGATGTTCCAGACAGCCAAAATAGCGACAGTAAAATTAAAGAACCGAAAGCAGAAAATATAAAGCAGGAAGAAAGTGAACAAGAAGAGTTACAAAATCAGAATAAACACGAGCAAGAAAAATTAGAAGCACGTGAGGAAAATAAACAAGAAAAATTAGATATTGAAGAAGAAATCGAACAAGAAAAATTAAAAATTCAAAGTAAAGATGATCAAGAAAATATAAAGATAGAAGAAAAAATTATAAATATGACAGCATCTCCTCTAGACGTAGTAGAATCAAAGAAAGACTCAATAAATGAATTGATGAAAAATAACAATGGGAATGAGGACATTAAATTAAATAATAAATCCATTATCGACGATAAAACCAAAAAAGATATGGAAAATGAGAAGGAAGAGAAAAGTGAAGACCTTTCAGAAAAGGTAGAGAGCGTCCATGGACCAATTATGAGCGCAATATCAGAACAATCGACAGAAGATTCTCGCTTTGGATATTGGACTATGGGAACAAAATCGTCGACTGTGGAAACAGTAATTGAAGCTTCAGATTCTAATGCGAGTACAGAGAAGATTGCTGATGAATCAGAAATCATCGCGGACGAATCGCTTATTCAGAAAAAAGACTTAGCAGCAGTTGTAAAAATTCAAGCTTGTAAGTAAAATGCAGCGTTTTGATAAAATTATGTTGTGATTCTTCAATTATGCTGCGTTAGCAGTATAAATAACTGACCACCGACTTTCTTATCTTTTATTACGTTTAAATAATATAACAAGGCCATAAGTTCGCGAATATAAATAACATTGGTTCATTAATTTTATTGAGATTAGAAAGTGGAGTAATGTTATTTTGAGACACTTATTACGTTATTTAATAGATAATAAGAAAGAGACAGAGAGAGAGAGAGAGAGAGAGAGAGAGAGAGAGAGAGAGAGAATAATAAAGATTATTTTTTCAAGATATCCGAGGATTTTTAACGCGTCGTCGCGTGCGAAGAAATATGAGCTTAGAATTTCCTTCTAATGACGTACCATCGACGCAAAAGATTACGGTAAATATAATTTTTATAATAATTTTAAGCCTTGATCCCTCAAAAAAAGTAGTTATGGATTAATATTTCAAAGATAAAATAATACTAATTTATAACATATAATAATAAAGTGTTATGATTACATAATTGTATAAAAAAATTAATTTCTGTTTGTTTATGTTATATAAAAATTAATAAAAATTGTATAACGATATACTGGGCCTAATAAAATAAAATTTTTCCTAAATTCTGTTATTGCATTCTATATGGAATACGATAATTTTGCCCATGGTTATTTAATGTGTTGAAACTGATCTTGGAATTGAGTCCATCAGTTTTCCTCTGTTTTGCCGAGCAGAACAGCTGGACGCAATATTTCGCACGCCACGCCCGTCGGAAGTTTATTACGTAAAAGAGGAAGCAGCGGGTCACTGCTAAACGTCAGCGCTTTCATTGCAACAGGCGGTTTGGCAATAACTGGCTTGGCAGATAGACCCGAGTTTTCCCTTAAAATAATTGTTTCTTAAATCAGAATTGACATCCACGGAATTGACGTCTTACGAATGTTTTTGTTACATTTCCTTAAAAACTTTATGCCTCAAAATAAAATTTAACACTAATCAATTATTTGTTAATTTTTTTTTAATAACAAGTATTTTTTTTAATAGTGATTAAATAACTGACTAATTAACATACTTCCCTTTTTCTAAATAAAAATCAGATGTAATATTGAACTTCAATGTTTAGAGCGATCATCTGGTACCGCAGGATACTTCGAATCGAGAAGCCAGACGTCTTCGACGAGAAGAAGCTCTGCGGAATACAACACTCTCGTTGGAGAATGCCTTTGCGACAGGTCGACTTCAACATACAAGCGAATTTCACGATTCTGTGCCGTTGCTTCCTTTTGATCTGCTGAATAGTAAAACTGATTCAATCTCCTCAAACAATTCTTTGGATGAAGAAGTTGATATTAAAGAAGCTAATATATCTGATAATGCAAAATCTAGTGCCAATGAAAGTGATACCGTGTAAGTAATAATTCGTAAAAGAAATGAAGAATGCATCAATTAAAGTACATAATATTCTTAGAATGTTATATGAATATTATTAAAAATTAAAATAGTTTTATTATAATCTATTAAAAATATTATATAATATTTTTTAACGTTATGGAAGTATTCTATTGATATTATATGTCTACTTCATATAATATCTTTGTTATTATCCGTGGAATATCATTAAAATATTTATTAATATTAATTATTAAATAGTATTTTAGCTTAAATAGTATTATATTTTAGATTTTAGAGTTTATTTACACATTCAGTTTTTCTACAACTGCGCAACAAAATCATTTTTAATTTTTACAAGCATACATCTTAAACCGAACTAATGTAATAGTTTTACAAATTAAAGTAAATATTATTGCTATACCTTTTTATGTTTATATAATGTTATAATAACATTAAATATTATTATTTTTTAATATTAATTTAATATTAAATAATATTATCAGCAATTGACATATAACCGTATCTATTAATACTTCAGGAATACTATTTAATATTATACAATATAATAGTAAAATATTATTAAAATGTTACAATATTCTAAGGATACGCCTAAAATATTACTTAATAAAATATTAAATAATATACTTATAAGGTTACTCTTTCTTTTTTATAGATGTAATTAAGCTATGCATTTTCTATATAAATCTTCAACGTTTATGCTCCCATTAAAAAGAGAACGTAATATATTGAATTTAATAAAGTTTTAGATGTTAACAAGAATAACAGCCATTTTTGATCTCGTAGTAATGCGCAGTCTAAACTTATTATTACGTATATATTTCAAATATTAGGATAAAGTCGCCTATTATGAAATATCTTTTTTTAAAGGCTTGTAATTTATTTAATTTGTAACCCGAATTTCTATTTTTATGTCAAATTTATGGAAAATATATTTAAGTTTTATCGTCAAAAGTTAGCAGTCGTTAATAGCTATAATTTGTTGTATGTGAAATTTTTTATCAAAAGTACCGATTTTGATCATTCAAAAAAAGGGTTTCTAATATGAGATACAAGGGTTTTCTTGTATGAGGTAGTATCTCAAGAAATTAAGGAAAAATAAAGATAAGCTTTATATACACACTTTTATTGTATTACATACAAGTAGGAACAAAGAATTTAAATGTTATACATAATAATAATATAATTTTTCGATGTGTGTGTGCGAACAATAGAATTGTCATTTTTAACATTTCGTTCAATAGTGCTTTGAGATATTGAATTGTTTAGATGTTATATTAGTTAGGAATAGCCTTAGTATCTCATATGACGATTTCCATGCCTTGCGGTTTCACGATCACCAAATCTAATCTTTATAGTTAAATCATTATATCATATGTTTTTCTATAAATACGATTTTACTTTATCACTGTATGCAGATTTTATTACCTAATATTTATTTTTACATAATAAAACAAGATTCAAAGACTAACCTCAATAAAATTTGATAACATTCAATTTCACAAATCTTTTTTTACAACAACTACACGCATAATCTAATAATGAATTTTCTACTAAACAAGTTTCACATTAAGAATAAAAAGTTCATGATAGAATCAAACATATACGCTTATTAGCAGAAACTCCGCTATCTCAGATTAGGAACCTATGCCATAACGACTTTAATAGACGACTTTACCCTATTTGTTACTTAGTCTTAAATTAAAAACTTTTGTGTAAACATCTTTTGCTACTTGTCACAGTCGCGAACATCGGACGACTTTCCACAAAGGCAACACCTTCGTTGATCCCACCTTTCCAATCATGATGCATCTGCTGGCGGATGCATCCCGCAATTGCCACTTCACCGTCAGTCAAAATTCTCATGCAGATTTTAATGCAAATGCTAGAGGAGCGAAACCTATGGAACCAACTGTGGACATTGTGATGCTGGGTTATCCGAGAGACGACGAGAATCAATACCTGAATTTCATAACCAGCGTCGAGGATCTGAACTCCAATATGGATTCCTTGACTGTGCACGATGTGATGAAAAGCACAAAGAACACCAGCGACGCTCATCCTTTAACGACCTCCGGCGAGGGTAGTCTTAGGGAGCCCTTGGCCCTTCCAGGAGTTTCTCAAGGTGTCGTAATCGAAGAGGTGACCAGCTTAGACGAAGTCGTCCCGTCGGAGTCGACGAAACCATCGACCGCGCCGAAGACCTCGCTGGATACAAATAGCTCAATGCCATCTGAGGAATGTGCCCTCGAGGACGCGAAGAATGATTTAGGGATATCTCCGAGAATTACCGGTACAACGGAAGACCGGAAACAAGAAGCTGAAGGACAAGAGTCTGATCGCAACCCTGAGAGTGTTGGAGAGAACGGTTTACATAGCGACGATGCAAATAAAAATTTTAACGAGTTCTCTGGCAATAGCCGTGAGCACATGGAAGAAGAGAAGGATAAAACGTGAATCATATATTCATGAATCATGTATTCATGGAGACGTGTGGGGCTGACATGAACAGGAGTCGCGAATTGTATGATCGGCCAGTTGGTTCCTCCTATTAAAATCGTTAGGAATTTGCAAAACAATGATTGTTAGAATTCCATTGCACATTAAGATATTTTGCAAGAAGCACTTGCGTTTTATATTATTCTTAATGCAAAATCCAGAATGTCTGTTTGTTTATTTATTTATGTAGAATTAAAATAGACGGAGAAGGATATCACTCAGGAATAGTATTAATGTACACGAAAAAAAATTATGACACACATAGTGCTCAATTACTAATTTATATACGAGGGACTGCAACGAGCTCTAAAGTCGCAATTTCGCTACACGATACAAGCGAACAGTCTCTTTTTCTGCTTTTTACATAGTTTGAAATTATATTGTCTATCTTTGTATATGCAAAGAGCATCAAATAAATTGCATATATAAGATAACTCAATTTGCTTTCACTTTAGAATATCTACCATAAAAAATATTTAATCCAATTAACAAATATCGATAGCTATAACTTGCAAATTAAGTATATTCTTGATAATAAGATACTTTCAACGTCTTTACTGCACAATTATGGCCTATGAATTAATTACAAGTTAACTATGACGCAAAAATCTTAAATTGATGGAAATAATTGCTCGTTTTACTAATATTTCGCGTTAGGATAATTTGCTATTTAATCCTGGCTCCTTGAAAATCGAAAATGCAAAAGTGAAAATACAGTATACAGAAATTTTATCACAGTAAAGTGTTTTGTATTGTTTAAATTTCTGTGATTGGCTGCTAATTGCGTCTGTAATAATCAAAAAGCTTCGAAATCGAGCTGACAATGTTTTGCATTTGGATCACGCAGAATTAATGCAAGCAGCTCGGATATGGACCTTGGTACATATTTTTAGTGCCCGCCGCGATCCAAAGAGAGAAAGAGAAGAGAGAAAGAGACGATTGACGATCAGTATCGTGGTCGTCTTGAGCGTCCAGTGAGCGGGGATCCAAGGTAAGGGCACGACGTCGCAATAACGTCATCGGGCGTCGCGACGACGACGACGCCGTCGTTGTCGCCGCCACTCGCTACGACACGCGTGCAAGCATCACTGCGATCAGTCGCAGCAACCGTTTTCTTCTTTTCTTTCTTTCGTAGTGATCATCGTATATATCATCGTTTCCAAACGTGTCTTTGTCACGCTCGCTAATAGTCGCGAGCGATCTGCTACCGCAACTTTGTCACGTACGTCCAATATCTTTGAAAGGTAAGCGAAATCAGCGTTTGCGAGTGCAGCTGCAGATAGATTGCTTCATTCTGAGAAAATTTTCGAGACAATATCTTTACCGCATTCTTTTGCTTCACGTTTCTTAATTAATACTTGAATTACCTGCGTATTTTTAAATATGTACAATTTGGCCTTCAACTTTGCTTGATTTTCATAGTCATGAAAATGACATTAATGAATATTGAAAATGATGAAATCGATTTTCTTTTAAAGATAGTCTTTAATTAGTAGAAGATATGTCTGCCATTTTAATGTCTATATTACATTTAAATTTGCAAACTTCCTAGCTATTAATATTATTATCAATAAATTGCACAGTGAAGATCTCTCTCTCTCTCTCTCTCTCTCTCTCTCTCTCTCTGTCTCTCTCTTTCTCTTCCTTGCTTTTTATTTTATATTTTTATAAAACTGTAGTTTTATAGAATTAGTTTTATCTAAAAATTTTGTATTGATTAAAATATTATTTAATCTCGCCTAACAGAAGTAATGTCCACTTCTCTATCTTTGGGAAATGTTCAAGATCACCGTGCAATTTTCATTTGTGGAATCGATATCCCAATATAATCTAAACTAATATAAAGAGTAACAATATATTCATAAATTAATTAACAAACACTAGAAATATCAATAAATATAATTTACAAAAACATTTTGTTAGACGTGAAATACGTGATGGAGAATGAGACGAAGCGCGTCAATGTGTACGCGCGAGATCTACGAGCGGGATCGTTATCGATGTCCGAGCCGGCCGATTGGATGACGCGTATTCGAGCGAGTATATTTTCGTGATGATGAGCATCGGTGAAGAGTTATGCGCGAATACGCAGAGATCAAACAGCGGACGCAAACAAATTGGAATGTTCTTGGCCGCACGCGCGCGGACTTTCGTCGACACTCTCGCGAGCATCAATCATCAATCAGCGTATATTGGCCTCAGGACGACGAATTCGCTGTGACGCGCATGTCGACCGCACTCACGAGATCAAAATTAATGCTATCCCAGGCGTATTACGAACACTTTGCGAGCTCCCCAATACAGTGTTCTCCCTTGACACGACGCGATCAATCAAGCCGCAAGTGGAAGAATAAATGTCCGAATGGTACTTGAACAAGTGTATTATATAAAGTTCCCTAAATTAAATTGCTTACACTATATTTCTCAATGAATGAGCGTATCGTTGAGAAACAGAAATAAAACGAAAATTGAAAATATTCTAAGTATGAAGAAATATTCTGATACTTGATTAAAATTTTTAATGTAACGTAATGGCAACTTTTTCATAAATCCTGCATTTTTTCTTACTTGATTATAAAACAGATAATGTATAAGATAATAATAAAAAGTAGCATACATGCACTGAGAGAAAAACGTATTAGATTTTAATAAATAATTATTTAAGTAGCACTAATATAACATTTATTTACGGAAAATAAATATTTGCTAAATAAAATATAATATTAATAGGTAAATCAAATCAATGGATTTTGAACCAAATAAATATATGTTTACATTTAGTAAATATTCAACTGGCACTATTTAAACAAATATTTATTAAAATTCAATACGTTTTTCTCTCAATGTATAAAAAGTAAGATAAATTCTTTCATAATGAGTTAAAAACGTATTTAAAAAGGAAAAAAAGTAAAAATAATTTGTGGCTTCACGTTTTATAGTAATTCAAATTGCTTCCGAACTGGGTTCTTTCTTCAGTTTTCTCGCAAAACGATATATCCAGCACGCTCGCGTTTTTAGCTTCATTTAAAAGCGCGCGAAGGCCATCCCGCAGCTATCGGGTGATCGGCGCTCACCCTCTGCCAACTTTGTACGAAATTAACCCATCCTCGAATGCGTGAAATAAGACATGAAGGTGATCGACGGTTCGGAGAAACCGAACGGGCCTCTTTCGCCGGTGGATTATCATCGCAGAACGCATGCGTGATAGATCCATCTTTCGTCCGAGGCGGATAAACCGCGCTCGCTGAGCTAACTCAGCTAACGTGTGCCTCTTTGTCGTGCGTTTGTTGCGCCTCAGTTTCCCGTTCCGCTTCTGGCTAGGAGGACGCGCGATAAGGAGATCGCGGAAGTGAGCGCAAAAGTGTTCTGCGAGGAAGAACGATCGTATCTTTTTCGTGAGATAAAATTCCCGCTCCCCAGAGAATCGGGAAGATCTTGCTCCTCCTGCTCTCTACCGATATTTATAAATCATCGTGGAGAACACCGATCTGAATTTTACGAAGACTGTTTTCATAACTATTTTTTGCGATTCATTTCGCAGGTGTCTAATCGCGATTAATATTGGGGTTTCCCAGAAGATCCCTGAAATAATAGGGAGACCTGGTTTTCTTCCTGAAGAAAATTTTTACTGAGAAGAAAGCCGCTCTTTTTTTTTGCCATCAATATATTTATAGTTGATCGAAGATACCCTGAGGTGGTTATCTGTCCTATTTCCGCGAGGTTATAAATAATCAAGAGATTATCCTGTCTGCAAGATTACTCACTTCCGTTTTGAAACAAATCTTTAAATATCTTATACGAATCTTCATCTCTCTTTATTCGGTTTCTCGTTCGGAATACTGTTCCGATAAATCGCCAGGGGAACTTTCGAATGAGTCTGTTCTCTCGGGAATGATCTTTACAAATAATCAAGAATAACCTGAATTGTTTTCGCTCTTGGGAATCGATCTTTGTAAATAAGCCGTAAAGGTACACGAATCTCTCCGGAAACGATTTTTGTAAGCAATCCGGGAAAACGCCGAATTTCTACGGAGTCGGCCTTCGTGAAACACCTTGGAGAACTCGGAATTTTACGGACGGACTTTAATGACCGAGACACGGAGCTTCGCGTAACTGGCTTAGAACTCCGTTCATGTCGCAGACTTCGAAGGAGGACGCCGACGCGATGAAGGCTAACACGGCGGCGACGAAGATCCAGGCCAATTTCCGCGGATACCGCGTGCGCAAGCAGCTGAAGGAATCCACGCAGCGCCGTCGTCAACAACAGCAGAATCAGCAGGACCAGAAGCGGAACCAGCAGCAACAGCAGGAACACATGAAGCCGAAGGAGCATTTGCTGAAGAGACAGAGCACTCAGGAGGCGCTCGAAGAGAAATCGGCGACGAAGATCCAGGCGGGCATTCGCGGTTTCCTGGTGCGAAAAAGACAGCAGGCCGTTCAAGCCGCGGCAACGAGGATCCAAGCCGGCTTCCGTGGCTTCAGGACGCGGAAACTGCTGAAGCAAAATGGCCAATAAGCTGTCCCTTCCTGGTGTGAGAGACGACGTGGGACGTTGACGTGTGCAAGAGGTTTCTCCCCGTTTATGTCTCGTGATTGCGCTGACGTAAATTAGAACTTGTTACTGATGTGATGCATTTGCTGCGAGGCTGAGTGGAAGATGTGATAATTACTTCGATCTACATATATATTCCCAATCCGTTTCTCTTAAGATCTAACAGAATTATACTTGGCTATTGAATACGTAAATTTTTCTGTGTGAATCTGGAATGTCTGAAATGTGTCTTTTCTAACTTATATAATGCTATCAGATGAGTATTGCAAAATTAATAATTTTGAAATATACTTTAACAAGTTTTTTCAAAAATGTTCTAATTTAACACCCCTAAAATATGCATATTGTCTATTTGAGTATAGATATATTATATAATATATATTCTTTATTATTATACAATATATATATGCAGTGTGTATGCATGTGTGGATATGTCCCAGCAAACAAATTGACATTATTTTTCGCTATTTTGACGTTACAAGGACGTCTTTAAGATCACCAAAATCTTGTGATGTTTGCTGGGATATTATGCTGTGCAATACAATATCTAGAAAAAAATAAAAACATAACTTTTTTCTAAACTTAAAAGTAATTTTTTGGCAAAAATAGATAAAAGAATTTTTTTGTCTTTGCTTAATTTAAAAATTTAATCTAATCTTACTTCTACGTGTGCTTTGGAATAATCACAGGACATTTACATGTCGTAATGAAAATTATCTAATATCTTCTTTTATTTCGACTATTGCGTGTATGACATTAGCCAGAAATTTTTTTTAAATATAAAAGAATTATTTCTCAGGCGTGTTTGAAACCGTGGTAGCTCGCGATGATTGCGACGATTGCGTGCTAATACTAATCGGCACTCATTAACTGCACAAGGAAAATGTAAACAGCTGCAACATGTGTCCGCGACATCTCAGCGCTTATAAGCGGTTTAAATATAACGTCGAGCTTGCGCCTCGAGCCCTTGACCCTTAAATTCTTCTTAGCACCGAACTCTTTGGCACGTCTCTCGACCTTCTCCATATATTTGTTCTTATATATGTATCGTTTATTTTTCAGCATTTTGCGGATTTCTTTGTAACTTGGACAAGACCTGCAATTGGATCGGAGGCGAGAAAGGAAATGACAATTTCAATTAAGTTGATTACATTGTACTCTTTTGAGACACTCCATTTGTCTTTGAACTGTAACTTTGTTAATCCTGTTGAAAACTATCTCGAGAATTGATCGATAATTAACGGAATTGCTTTACGACAATATTTATCATTGTTCTTATTTTCTTATTTCGATTTTTTCCATGATGACTTTCATATGAGAACGATGGCAATAAATAATAATGTCGAAGAAAGAAGTAATGATCGAAGATATCGCGCCTTGAAGGAAAGCGGTTGAGATATATATATATATGTATGTATGATAGAAATTAGTTAAATAATTATATAAATCTTTTAATACATCTCTTATATCATTTTTTATGTAATTAATGTAATTAACGCGTTTAAATTATAAATTCGAATCCTGTAAATTATAATCGAAAATACATCTATAGCGTAATTTTGTATTCGTACAATCTGTTGATAAATGTTTCTTGTGTAATGACTAGCGCATAAAAAATGTATATATTAATATATATTTTTTGTTGTTGTTAAAACTTACGTTTTATGATTCTGCCCGAATTTTATGAATAATAAATTTTTAAATCTTTATAATAAGTATTTATATATACGTATATATATGATGGTTATATTAAATATATAGGTATTAAAGAATACTCTTACATATTTTTGTAATTTACTTTGGTGATAAGTATACATTATTTAGTATATATTCATTTGCCATTTTTTAACTGAATGAAATGAGATTATATTATGTATGTGTGTCTAAATTTGATACATTATCCGATGAGTAAAGCAGTTCACCAGTAATTCTGGATGGCAGCACTTATATAGGAAAGCCATATTGTCTTCAATATTCAAGATGCTTTAAAATTTTTAATCTTAAAATTTTTTAATTAATAACATGTTTGTGATTCGTCCATTTCTTTTAAAAAGTATTTTTTTTCAAAGCTTTGCTAATAAATATCGATAAAAGTTTATTTAAAATAAAAGAAGAAAAGAAAAAAATCTTAAAAATGCGAAAGAACACTTTTATTTACGTAAACATGAGAGTTACACTTATCGCTTGAATAAACAAACCATTTCGTTTCATTTATCATCGTAAAGAAACAATTTTATCTTGTTGCGAATGAGGCAACAGGCTGGTTCTGGTTTAAGAGCGCGGATAAACAAATTAATCCGAGACGAGGGAAGGTACGTCAATGATGCGCATATGAATGCAACCAATTTTATTCTGTTGTCTGTTACATAGGGACGGCGCGTTCGCCGAAATATTCACATCCGGTCTCCGCAGAAATACCGAGAGTTATGTAAGATACTCGTTTTTGAGGCGCTTACCAGACTAATCGGTGAGAGAAGTACCGGTGAAAAAGTCAACTATTAACTATTTTCGTGTCTATGTAATAAATATTAGTAACAGTCCGTTAGTGAAAGGCAAGATATTGATATACTGACAATATTTATCTAAACGGGCACGCTTTATCGGGAGATCCCTTATCGCAGGGAGATCTCACTCTCTCCTTAAAGTTTAAACGCGTCGTTAAACATAAACAATGAAAATAAATATTAAGATAAATGCGAAGTGTTGATATAACTTTCGTAAATATATACGTAATTGAAATGTCAAATCGGAATGTCAAAAATCATATTATGACTGTTTTACAGAATAGGGTAGGGAACAGGAAAGGGGAGGACTTTCGTATCTTCCTCATGTACTTCAAAATCCTTTTCTTCCGCTTTTTACTCTCGACAGAGATCCGGCTTTTTAATGTTTTCTGACACGAAATTCGAGGATCCCGTCGATCGCCCCTTGTTATTCAGCAAGAGGCGCGATTCACAGCCAAGGACTATGCGCGATGATTCATCTCTTACGAGATCAATCTAGCCGGTACACGCGCGCGCTCGCTATAATAAGCACGCGGACACGGGCGCGAGTTTCATTGAGAGACATGCGTGTATAAAGACGGGATAACGTAATTAAAAAATCACAGAAATGCCATTATACACGAACAAGAGCACCGTCGTCTCGCGGGAACGGGAAATGGGGATGAGGGTGGGTAGAGACGAGGCTCCGACGAGCTATCTATCACAATCGAAGATACCTAATGGGATTATATCGTGAAATGTAATAAATAATTCGAAAAATTACTAATATATATCCGCGTTTCTCTCCATCTTTCTCATTTCACATTCGCTCCTCTCACATTCGTCGTCTCATCCATTCGTCGTTCTTTTCGTCCATCCGGGAATTGGTTTAGGTTTCCGTTTACTTGGCGAATCGGTTGATGGGGAAGTTGTCGAAGATATCGGGATAGCTCCGCGTCTCCAGGCTCTGATGGGGCAAACAAGTGTTCGCAAAGCACGTGAGGTTATCCACGCTGCAACCGGTGCAGCGATTGCAACTGCAGATCAATCCGTCGCCGCACACTCCCCAAGAATCGCTTGGACCACCACAAATATGCCCGGGGCCCTACAGGAAATCGATGTCAATAAGACCGCGAAAATTCATCATATACTCGTGGAATTCTCAACGAATCTCCAAATGGAGACCAACGCAACATTGAAGATAGAGACAGAACAAAACTTGCGCAAATTTGCGATAAATTTCACGGTAAATGAATTTTATATTAAATAAAAACTGTAGTACAATCCAAAAAACTGACCAAAGTTTAGAATACGAAACTTGAAATAAAAATAAAATCGAAATTTTATTCTTTTACAGTAAATCTTGGTTCATATTTGGAACTTTTTCTCAACACTTTTATCAATGAATGTATATTCTTTTAATTTAATTTATACGCTTTTATTTCTAAAATTTTGTAGTATATGTAACATAAACCATAATGCCAAATGTATCATCATTTTAAGCGCGTTTTAAATACGAGTCTTTGGATTTTATGATATACGATGAGATACGTTTAAGAATGATTTTCTAAAGTGGAACAATGCATCGTACTATTGTTAATTGCTACTCACTTTTCGGCATTCCGAGATACCGCAGAGAGTCGACGTTGTGTAACCGAACTCGCATTGCTCGCATTTGTCGCCACAGCCCACGCACAGCGGTCTCGGCTCGTGCCGCTGTGCGATCGCGGGATGCGCGTGGCACTTGTCGATCCTGTAACATCATTAGAACTACATTAATTACCGTAACATATGTACAGTATAAGGCCGGTATTCATAGTCAGTCTTTATATTTATGACTATTTTAAGTACAATCTTAAGATATCATGAACCAATCAGAACTGAATTAATATCTTAAGACATTACTTAAGACAGTGAATAAAAACGGACTATAAATATCAGCCTAAGATTTTACATTTTATGACTTTATTCATTACTGCTCCATCGTTTTTAATGCTTACAGGAAGACCGCGGCCAAGAGAACGAGCATGTAAGTGAGTTGGAAGGTAAGCATAGTGATCCACCGATCTGAAACAGAAACTACATGCATGTAAATCGCCGTGCTTTTTCTTACCGTAGAATTTTATATGTAATGTAAAAATAAAATTATAACGAAAAAAACTCTTATTTGACATGAAAATGTTCGAACAAATGTTTGAACTATTATTTCTTCATGTATCAATTTTTTTATACAAACCTTTTCTTTATCTCAATAACATAAATAAGTGGTCCTTGTGCCTAATTGTAATTATAGTGCTCGAAAAGCAGAACGTGAATAAACAGAGTGAGGAAAAAAATTAATTTTACGCTAAAGATAAAAATTTGCTCTAAAAGTAAAATATATGTATTACGATATATTAATCGTCAGGATTGGCAGTAACACGTCACTTTGCTGATCGTTACCTCATTATAATAACGATTTAATAATAACATTGTGAATTTTTTATGAAGGTAATCAGACTCAGAGTTAGAACATCGATCGTTACTTGTAACGAGTTGAAAAAGTTATTTTTTATTGAAAAAAATAACTCCTTTTTCCATTAATTTGTAACGCGTTACTTTTTTACTCGCGTTACTTGTAACGAGTAACATTATGCGTTACTCATTACTTATTACTTTTTTTTAATAAGTAACGCATGTTGATAACAAATTATTTTTCAAAGTAACTTTTCTAACCTTAGCACAATCTTAGCGTTTAGTTAGTTAACGTTACAGTCATAAAAAATTACAACAATGTCATCAAATTGTTTACTATAGAAAGTAACGACAAAGTAACTGAAAAGTAATGTTTGCAAATCCTGTTTTTTAATCGTACATTGATATTATGCATGATTTCCAATGTTTTTCGTGATAATTGTTATTAATAGTTACATTTCCGATATTTATCAATTTAACGCTGCCGCGAAACAGTCTTATGTAATTAATAATGCTGTCGCGATTCGATATTGAATATTAATGTGAATTTCATTTTATGTCTATGGTAATTATAATTCTTTTGTAAAAGATAATTAATAATTACAACAATAAATCATTTGCTTCTCATAAGAAATAATTAATCTCTTTTTATAAAATAATAATTAATATTCTTCTTCTAATTTTATATATATATATATATATATATATATATATATATATAATATATCGCAATGCCACGGATGCGGATTATCTTTCCATTTATCGAGTTCAATCACCTCGTTTCAGTGTCTTGACATCATATGCAACAATGTTAGCACTAGGAATATTGAATATCCATGAAATATCGAAGTAGATATTACAATGCTGTAAAATTGACTTCTTATCACCAATATGTCATTAATTGCCACATATCTACAACGCAAGCATGAACGATATTTCGACTCTTTCTCTTTGAGGTATACCAAATATGTTATACAACTAACTTGTTGCGGGATATAATTGTATTCATTTAAGGAAACAGATGTATATATAATAATTATGTTTGGATAAGAGCGAAGAATATTCCAACCACCAAAAGATCACATGAATGTTACGATATGTATCCAGGAATGAAGAATCAGGAATGCACGGACCTCGTTAAAACACAATCACATGAAATAATACACACTTCAGCGTCTGACAGATAGACACTTGGAAATACGGTCATCAAACGTAGACATAAAACATAACATCAGTCATAGGCTTCTATATCGTGAAATAGAATCTTCTATGATGCTCTGTCTTTATATAGATTCATATGTCTTTGTATAGATTCACAATTATGTTATTTATTTTATATAGGAATATTAAACGTAATGATGATAACAATGATGAAGATGACGGCCATGAAGATAATGAAAATGATGACGATACTACAATCCGACGCGACGCGAGAACCAAGGAAAAGCTGTTTGTGCCGGCGACCCGTCGCGAGAATTAAACGGGTAAAACTGATGTCCCACATCGTCACGATGGTCC